TCCTCCCTGGGTGATGCTGGTGGCGAAGGGCCGCATGTCCTGCAGCAGCCCTGCCGCAAAGGCTCTGCGGGGGCATCACCGCCGCCCCGCTCCCCGGGCCTGGAGCAGCCGTGGCTCAGCGGGGGCTGAGCTGCTCAGGGGCTCCCGGTTCTCCCGGACCCCTTCGAACCGGTGACCCCTGCGCTGGAGCCGCTGCTCCGGGCGCTCCACGTGCCGCGGCCCCGGCTCCTCGGCCCCCGCCGGCCGCGCTGGGCCGCCTGCCATCCCCTTTGGCGAGCGCCGCTCGGGGGCTTTATTCCGCCCATTCAAGCTGACAACGGGGCCTCAGCATCAGCTGCTGGTTGCTCAGCATCAGCCTTTCAGCCAACAGCAGGTGCAGGCGGTGCGGGCGCGATCCCCGCTCCCCCCGGCCCCCCTGGCTCAATATTGTCCCCTCGGCGCAAGAATGTTTTTGTCTCCCCTTCACAGTTGTGAATTCTTTTATAGAGTGAATACAAATCTCTCCCCAATGGCCGGGCCGGGCCGGGCCGGGCCGGGGCCGAGCGGGAGCCGCGCTGCAAGGGGAGGATCCGCTCCCTCCTCGGCAGCTGCCCGCAGCCTTCCCGAGCGCGGTGGGGATGGAGCGATCCTGCCCTCGCCCCCTGCATCCTGGCAGCAGGAGCACGGGGATGCACCGGAGCTCACCCTGCAGAGAAAGCGGCTCAGGCACATGGGGGAGACACGGGGGGGACAGAGCAGCGGGGCTCTGCTCCATCACCCGTGCTGAGCCACAGGGAGCTCTGCCAGGAGGAGGGAATGGTTCATCTGATTCGGTTTCTCTGCCTTGGGAAGGGTGTAAGGCAAGCGAGAGCCCGAGCAAGCAGAGGTTTCGAATACCGCGTTGCTCTGTGCTGCAAGCGGCAGGCAGGAGCAGGAGGGATGCTCCGGAACAGGGATGGAGCAGTGAGCTGCAGGATGCTCACGGGGCTCAGCCTCAGCACATCTCTGCATGGTGAAAATGGGACTCAAGGCACTTGTGTTATGTGTCACCCTGTACCGAAATGACTCAGCAAAGCCCGATGCAGGAGGGAAACATCCTCCTCCCCACGGGTTATCAAAGCCTCCCTTCCCCTCACAGAGCAGCCCCACGGGTAAGAAACCGCATCCTCTGCCATGCACATGCACACCCGGTCCCTGCTGCCACTGAAGTGGCGTGATGGCTCCTGCCTTCTCCAGGGCACGCATGGGATGGAGCAGGGGGCACAGGGGCATCCAAGGGGCTGCTGCAAGCAAGCAGGTCACCCTACAGCACCCCAGCAGGCTGGAGCAGGCACCTGAGGGAACTGGGAGACAATCTGGGGAGGGAAACACCGCACACAGGTCCCTGCTGTGAACTGGGGACCAGCACGTCCCTGCCGGGGATGCTGCCCAAACACGGGGTCCTCTCCTGCATCCTGACCATCCCAGCGCGGTTTGACCTTGCCAGGTTAAAGGAGATTTGCTTTAACCGCAGCTCAGCCCCACACCGTGGCCATACCTCCCTGGGCAAAGAGCGCTCAGCACGGGGCAGAGCCGGCCCCACTGCACCCAAACCCTCTGCAGCAGTCCTTCCCTTGCAGACAGACATTAACCCAAAGGTGCTCGGTGAGTTTATGAAGCAAACCTCACGTTCACGCTGTGGCATCACCCCCCCCCCCCCCCCAAGCCTCTGTGTGAACCCCAGTTTTGGACATAGTTTGGAAGAGCACGGGGCAGGGCAGCAGTGATGGGAGAGCCCGGCTTCCCTGCTCCACCTCCCCCTTCCCTCCACAGGAGCGCCTGCATCAAACAGGCTGCAGTACCTGTCCTGCCGGGGCCCCGCTTTCCCACAGGCTGCAGCCCCAGAGGGGGCACAGAGCAAAGGGGCATCCCCTGCAGACGGGAACAAGCTTCCCGGGGTAAGTGCTGTGCTCATCACAGCTTGAAGACAGCAGAGCTGCAGCATCCAAGGCCAGCAGGGGACCTGCCAGTGCTCAGAGCTGCTGCGGCCTCACCCGTACCCCTCTGCAGCCAGCTGAGACCAGCACATCCCCTGCTCCTCAGCAGAACGCCTTCAGCTGCAACATTCACCTGCAAGAGAGCAAACGGAGCCAGAGCTCTGCTGCCATCAGCACAGCACGCTCGGGATGCTCTTCCATAGGTACTCAAGCCGAGGGACCAAGGCACAGAGCAGCTCTGATCACTCACAGTGAGAGCTGGGTGCTCCAGGAGCCTCCATATGGAACCCGGCATGGAGCTGCCCCCAAGAGCTCAATGAAACCCTAAACCTGGGAAACCCCCCAGAGGCTGCAGGATGGAGGCTTTGAACACAGGAACTGGTGCTGGGAGCAGCTCCAAGCTCAGGTGGTGGCTACCAACGGGGCAGGTCAGGCAGCTCCAGTGCCTAAAGGGGCTGCAGGAAACCTGGAGAGGGGCTTGGGACAAGGGCCTGTAGGGCCAGGCCAAGGGGAATGGCTTGAACCTGCCCGAGGGGAGACTGAGCTGAGCTCTTAGGCAGAAGCTCTTCCCTGTGAGGGTGCTGAGGCGCTGGCACAGGGTGCCCAGAGAAGCTGTGGCTGCCCCATCCCTGGCAGTGCTCAAGGCCAGGTTGGACACAGGGGCTTGGAGCAAGCTGCTCCAGTGGAAGGGGTCCCTGCCCTGGCAGGGGTTGGAGCTGGAGGAGCTTTCAGGTCCCTTCAACCCAAACCAGGCTGGGATCTTGGGATCTGTGGATCCCCAGTAAGTTATGAGATGCTGCTTCATGCACCTGCTTCATCCAAAATCCCCCCATTCCACACCCCCTGCTAAAATAAACCCTACATTTACCTTCCCAACTGTTCCCTCCCTTTCTGTGCCGAGTCCCCAGCCTGCAAACAGGGCAAGCATCTGGAAAAGCAGGAATGCTGCAGCACATCTCACCCTGCCCCACCACCAGCCCAGGCCTTATCAGCCCAGGCCAGTTTCTATCACAGCCCCACAGCAGATGCTGTTAAGCTCATGCCCAGGGGCACAAGGCCCCGCTGTCCCTGTTAGCTCTGCTGCTCCCCAGGGGCACAGCCTCGTGTAGCACTGGAAATAGGCTCCCTGATAAGAACGAGTCAGGGGAAAGCTGGGGTTGGTGGGAGGGAGGGAGGGACAGGAAGGGAAGCAGCGCTGTTTGCATTGCTGCGCCGGCCGGGATGTGCTGCACTGGGGACCAGGCAAGGACCACTGGGAAGCACCCCCAGGAGCGCAGCCCCCCCAGCAGAAGCTGCTTTTACCAGTGTCCTGGAAGGATTGAACCCTTTTCCCCTGCAAAGCCCTCCCAGTCCTTCCTTTGATTCCACAGTGAAGCCCTCTTGGTGCAAGGGGAAGGAGCCTGTGCAGTGCAGTGCTGAGATGAACCTGCTTAACACTTATGAACCTCTCCCTCAGCCCTGTCCTGTCATGAATTAGGCACTGAGGCATTGCACCTTTAGCTCCAAGGTGCAGATCAACCTGGGAAGTGAAGGTGCTACGTATCAGGTGCATTGAAATCAGAGCTCTCCCCTCTTTGAGGACACCTTAGGAAGCCTGGTTTTAACAACCGGACAAGGGGTAATGGGTTCAAACTGAAACAGGGGAAGTTTAGATTGGATCTAAGGAGGAAACTCTTTCCTGTGAGGGTGCTGAGGCACTGGAATGGGTTGTCCAGGGAGGTTGTGAATGCTCCATCCCTGGTGATGTTCAAGCCCAGGCTGGGCAGAGCGTTGGGTGCCATGGTTTAGTGTGAGGTGTCCCTGCCCATGGCAGGGGGTTGGAACTGGATGATCTTAAGGTCCTTTCCAACCCAACCCATTCTATGATTCTATGATAACCTGGATCTCACAACATCCTGGTGTGGCTCTGGCACTGCCAGGGAAGCTCCTCTGGCCAGAGACCATGACACAGGGATCCAGCTCCTTCCTTGAGAGCCTTCAAGGAAAGGCGCAGGGGTTCACCCCTGTACTAAAGAGCTGAAGAACCCACAGGTCAAACAGGAGCTTCTGGGGCTGGAGATGCTGCCTCTCACAGGACATGGGCCTGGGGCACAGCCACCACAGCGCCTTTGTGACCTGCACATAGAGGAGATGACACCTGCATCATTCAGTGATAAAGCAGACGTGTCTGAGCCCATCAACTCAGTGTCCAGTAATGCACTCATGTGAGGTGCACCCCACCTGTGCTTCCAGGCTCGTTTCCACAGCATCCTCAGGTGCAGCTCAATGAGCTCACTTCTGCCCGCTCTCTGCTGCCTCCAGCCTGGGGTTACAGCTGGAAATCCAACCAGGGACACTGCCAGGGTGGGAGCCAGCACCGTGCCTCAGCCCACGTGAAGCTTCAAGATTAAGGCGATGCCACCACTGGCTTCAGCAGCTCCCGGTGAAGCTCTGGACCATCCATAACCACTTGGTCACCTACCTGGTGACCTGGGAAAGGAATTTCCCTTCCATCTGCAGCACGCCAAACCCCTCCATCACTCTGCTGTCACCTGGTACAGAGAGATCCCCCCTACAGCCCAAAACCACACAAAGCTTTAAGCTCGGGTTTGTTGAAGCTGTTGGGAAGTTGCCTACGTGGCAAGTGTTTAATTAATTGTTGTGCCATATTTCCAGCATCCTGCTGTGATTCACCAGCACGCTGCTGTGCCATTTGCTTTACCCAAGCCAGCTCCACTGCAATTTGCTGCTCCTACCACACACTGAGAACACCCTGAACCCCGGCCGCGCTCGCCCCGACTCCAGCCAACCCCAGCTGGAGCGTGAGCACTGCTGGTACCAAAAGAACAACGACCAGAAAGGAAAATACCAAATAACCCCAACCCCAAAAGTCAGCCTCCTCCTGCCTGCCCCATTCACGGGTGTCACAATGCGGGTCTGAGGTTTAACCGTTCCCACAATGATGGATGCTGACACCTCTGGCTGAATAACCCAGCGGGCGGCAGTCAATCACAGCAGCTCGGGGCTGTGTGGCTGTGGCAGAGGGATAGGAAAGGCAGCAGGAAAGAAACAGATGTGGTGTTTTAACAAGGTTTTAGGGCTCACCACCTAAACCACTGCTTGTGCATCGATGAGTGAGTGTTCGTGACAGCCACCCCCGTGATGTGCTTGCCGTCAAGCTCCCAGAATAGAAGTTATTAATCCCTTTGGAAGGTCACGATGGGCAATTTCACCTCCCAGTGGCAGTCAGCTGAGCACTTGCTATTAAATGGCACTGGTTGTTTTCAAGAACAAAATCACCCCCTCATTGTCCATCTGGGGGGTTTGGGTTGACTTCCTGTGCCTCTGCTTTCAGGCACGGTGCTCACCAGCCTGCTTGGGTTGTGGCGTGTCTCCTGGATGAAGCTCAGCCTGGAGATGCTGAGGAATAGGATGGCTTACGACCAGGATGAGTCAGGATGATTGCAAGAGGAGGAAAAACACTTTTCCTTCCATCTGACTCACTTGTCAGAGTCCAGTCCAGCAGCATCTGTCTGCAGATGAGGCAGAAGAGAGTCCACAAGTGGCCACCCCAGGATCACAAGCAGGAGGAAGAAGAGTTGTGCGCTGCAGCCTCTCTAATCAAAGGCCTCGTGGTGGTCAGGGTGCTGTGCCTCCACTGGTGGATGCTACTTGAAAGTGGCATTAAAAGCCCTGCCAATGATGAGCCTGCGCACTTCACTGGTGCCTGCCCCTATCTCATAGAGCTTGGCGTCCCGCAGGAAGCGCCCCATGGGATAGTCATTGATGTAACCGTTCCCACCTGCAGGCAGAAAGAAGCCAGAAGTCACTTCTCCTCTCTGCTTTGAGGGGATGAAGGTGGGACAGGACACAGAACTGCTCCTGGCTCTGTCCAGCAATCACTCAGAGAAGCAGTCACTGCCAGGGACTTACCCAGGCACTGAATCCCATCCAGAGCCACCTGCGTAGCGCACTCTGCCGAGTACAGGATCACCCCAGCACAGTCCTAAAGGAGAACCACAGTGATGAGAGGCAGGAAAGCTGTCACCTCATGGACATACAGAATGGTTTCGGTGGAAGAGACCCTAAAGCTCCTCCAGCTCCAAGCCCAACCCCTTCCACTGGAGCAGCTTGCTCCAAGCCCCTGTGTCCAACCTGGCCTTGAGCACTGCCAGGGATGGGGCAGCCACAGCTTCTCTGGGCACCCTGTGCCAGCGCCTCAGCACCCTGCCTGTGTCCCATCTAAACGTTGCTCTGACCTTGCCATTACTCTACAGGCATCTGCTAAGGAGCCTGTGTTCAACCCCTGGATCACAAAGGTTCAGGATTCATTCCCCAGCAACAAGAAGCTGCAGGGGTCATTCTGTCACTCCAGAACACTCGTGGCGGGTCTGGAAAGGCCACATGAAGACACAAGAAGTGAAACAAATAAATAAATGGAGTGCATGTTGTGGGCTCCCACATCAGACCCACAGGAGGCTGATGTGAACTGACTTGGGATGCAGGGCTCTGTGCTCTGTTAAACACTCAGTCCTCTCCTTTGAGAGATGCGGTGACAGTGCTGGTTGGGGAGATGACACCACCTCGGCATGACTGCTACAGCCTCTTGTAACAGCCCTGATACCGTGACTGGGCTTCCAATAAACACCTCCTGAAGCTGCTAAATCTGTAGAACAAGGTTTTCTTTCCCTTTGGGGTGAAAAAAAGGCACTTTTTGCTGCAAGCGAGTGATTTTAACCCCAGCACAGAGCTTCCACCCTGCCCATGGTGTGGCACTAAAGGGAAAGGGGCTGCCCCAGGCAGAGGTGAGCTCACCTTGGCGTTGAAGTGGCCCTGGTCACAGGCTTTGGCCACGTTGTAGACGTACTGCCGACAGGCCATCAGGCGCGTGTACATATCAGCCATCTTGCCCTGCATGAGCTGCAGTGAGGGAGACAAGAGGGATGCTAACAGGAGCGAGGGCAAGATTGACCTCGGCATCATCTGGGGCTCACCCCTTTCTGTCCAGAGACACCAGAGAGCTCAGAGGGCCCGGGTTCAGCAGGCATACGATGGAGCTGGAGGCTGTGCCAATCCTCAAGCTCCCAGTGTCAGCCCCAGTCCCTCACCCACCCCAGAGATGCTTTCACCTTCTCACCACATAGCGCATCCCCAGCACAAACTCCATACAAAGCCTCCCATGACAGAGCTCTCATTGTAAAAGAGAAGAGCAAGGCAACAAAACCATCCAATTCCCTTTCTGCCTCACCTGGAAGTGGCCAATTTTCTGCCCAAAGGCTTCCCTTACATGCAGGTATGGGATTGCGTGGTCAAGGACAGCCTGCATGAGCCTAAAAGCACAGGAAAAGGAAAACAACACAACTATTACTTAATAACAATTAAACCTTGGAAGCACCATCTAAGGCGAAAAGCTTCTCATCCCTAAACTGAGATGCTGCTGCCTTCCTAGAGCTCCACAAAGAGTGAAATGCAAAGGTCCTGTTTTATCCCCTAGTGCTCTACAGGCTGCTCATTTGGGACATCTTGTGGTAAGGTCTTACCTTCTTCATGCAGGGCACTGAGGTGCAGAGCTTTGTCACAGCTGTAGCCCTGTGCTGCTTTGCATCTGCAGAGGCCACCAACTCAAGTGCTAGCCATGGGCAAGAAGAAGAAGGGTACAAAATCCTCCTTCTGCTTTGTGGGAGATGGTCTTTCCACATGAGGATTAGGACAGAGCCCCAAAAGAGCCCTCAAAAGGGGGGGAAATGAAAGGACTGTAGGGTCAAAATAAAAGCTTAAGGAGTGGGTAAATGAAGAGCAAAGCCTTTACCCAGGCCGGGGGTATGTGACAACCTGGAGAGTGCTTTGGCTTTGAAGGAGTCAGTAGCACAGATGAGCTGGTTATCCCCTGGGTAACACACTGGGACACACACACACCCCAGCAGCTGGGGACCAAGGCAGATCCACCACCTCCGGAAAGGTTTACATCAAGCCCAGTCTATTCCAAAGCCCCTTGTGCTGCACTGCGAGGCAGAGGCCTGCAAGCAGTGGACTCTTCATTAGCGACTGCAGTGATAGCACAAGGGGTAATGGGTTCAAACTGAAACAGGGGAAGTTTAGATTGGATATAAGGAGGAAATTCTTTCCTGTGAGGGTGCTGAGGCACTGGAATGGGTGCCCAGGGAGGTTGTGAATGCTCCATCCCTGGCAGTGTTCAAGGCCAGGTTGGACGAGGCCTTGGGTAATATGGTTTAGTGTGAGGTGTCCCTGCCCATGGCAGGGGGGTTGGAACTTGATGATCTTAAGGTCCTTTCCAACCCTGACTGTTCTATGATTCTATTCTATGATTCTAAGCTGCCTTTCTGGCTTTGCTGCTTCCATCCCCTGCCCCTCAGTGGGTGCTCCACAGCCCTGCTTCCAGGCTGCATGGGGAAGCAACAGGGAAGGTGGAGCCCACCCAGAGCAAGCACGGAGCTGAGCTCCCTGCTGGAGCACTCAGCAGCCACAGCATCTCCCTGCTCCTGCCTGACCCAGCCACCTCCTCCCAGCCTCTCCTCTCCTCTCCCCTCCCCTCACAAGCTGCCCCGTGCCCCAGCTCTCCCCCCAAGATGCACCCTACCGGGAGCTGCATCCCCAGCTTCACACCCTGCACTGGGTGACTGAAGGATCCGGCCTTGCAAGAGATGACAGAGCCTTACCCCAGAGGCCCCCCGGACAGCACGAGCCTCTCCAGGTCCAATCCGCTCATCAGAACGTAGACTCCTTTGCTCAGTGCTCCCAGGACATTTTCAGCTGCAATTGGCAGAGGAAAGGGATTTACTCATGTGCAAAACTAAGCTCTGCTGTTGTCGGAGGCCTGTGGTCACCGGGAAGAAGATTCAAGCTTCAGTCTGATTCACCTTCCCTTTTGGCTGGAAACACGCTGAGGATGGATGGATACTGAGCTGGCTGTATACTCCCTACCACTGCAAAGTCTTCCCAATCCAACCAAGGCCCGAAGGGAAAAGGCAGCAAAGGGTTATGAAGCACATCTGCAATCACTGCTGTTCTCTTGCCTGTTTTCTACAGTGAGATGCTCTCCAGAGGAGAGCTCAGCATTGGTGCCAACAAGAACAGGAGACTTAACAGCCTGGGACCCCCTTCACCATCCCATTGGTTTGTATCTAACCCAAACTGACAGCGTTGCCAGCTGATGACTACTGAGCGTGGCTCTGAAATGAATGCAAATCCTGCTCTGATGTGCCTGGGTCACCTCTCAGCATTCCCAGCACAGGAACTGAAGCTTCACAGGCAAAGCTCACCTCTTACCACATCAGAGCGATGTGTATGAGTCTGAGAGGGGAGAGCACAGTCATTATCCCCCCTCCTGTGAGCAGAACACTGCAGTTGTTATAAGTGGGTTTAAAAGACAAGCCTTATTCCTGTGAAAATGGGACCTGAGAATGGCCACATTAGATAACGGGCTGAGAAACTGCTTCACTTTGGGACGAGCTGAAGCACACGCTGCTGTTAGCAAGTATACAGAGAGAAGCAGGAACAGAGAGCTCATCTCAGCAAGGCTGTACTCTTCCAATCAGGGAAGAACTTAAGGCCTCACAACTGTGCTTTGTAGATGGACAGATTATGCACTGATCACGCCACACAGGAGAGCTGACACACGCTTCAGGCTTTGATCACGAGAGATCTGAGAGGTGCGATATGCAAAGTGAAAATGAGACAGGACACGGACACATGCAGGCTGCCTCCTGAAAGAAATAATGTGGTTTTCAGTGGCAGAAGCTCACAGACCACATTATCTCCTGCTTGTTGAAGAGCACGTTGATGTAGCATATGGAGAAGTGCAGCCTCTGCAGGGCCAGCATCATGGTGCTGGAGGTAGGAAGAAGAAGAATGAAGCTCCAAAGCCCCCAGACAAGAAAGAAAAACACTAATAGCAAACATTACTTTGAGGAACAGAACATAAACGCCAGCATCAGTAATCATAAAGTGACAAAGCTGTTGGTGAGTAATGACAGCTCACAGCTAAAGCTCTGAAGAGCCTGAACACTCTGCTGCATCCCAGGGAGAAGGGATGGGTAGGTACATGGTGAGCTGAAGGACAAGCTGGTGACTGCACAGGAGGGACAGAGCTGCCGGTTGTGCATCACAGCAAGAAAATGTGAGTAAATAGAACTGCTGGGGCTCTGAACCTTTACCAGTGCAACACAACTGACTACACCATGGGCAATACCACCGATGGGAAAGCCACCAGTCACTCACTGCAGTGTGGCTGTGTCGTGGTTTAAAGCCAGCCGGCAATCCAGAACCACGCAGCTGCTCACTCACTCCCTCCCCTTCCACTCCCTGCTCCTGGAGGGATGGGGAGGAGAATGGAAAGCATGTAACCCCCATGGGTTGAGATAAGAGCAGCCCAGTACCTAAGGTATAACACAAACCACTGCTATCACCGATAATGATAAGGGAAATAACAAGGGAAGAGAATACAACCGTTCACCACCCACTGACCGATACCCAGCCTGACCGAGCAGTGATCTAACCCTTCTGGGTAACTGCCCTCAGTTTATAGAGTGGCCATGACGTGCTGTGGTATGGAATACCTCTTGGGTCGGTTTGGGTCAGGTGTCCTGTCTCTGCATCCTCCTGGCTTCCCCTCCTCCCTGGCAGAGCATGAGGCTCACAAAGTCCTTGGTAAGAGTAAACTTTACTGAGCAGCAACTAAAACCATCGGTGTTATCAGCGCTGCTCCCAGGCTGGAAGTCAAAACCACAGCACCGCACCAGCTGCTAAGAAGGAGAAAAGTGACTGCAACTGCTGAACCCAGGACAGGATGGCAGCAAAACCCATGTGGAAGTAGATGGAACTGCAGCACTAGAGGCACCTTGATCTGAAAGAAACATCCTGCAGACATAGGAGATGGCATCAAACGGGCTCAGCTTCCAAGGCAGGAGATCAGAAGCAGCATTAAGAGCCGGAGTGCAAAGCCAACAGTGCAGTGATGTGCTGCTCTGAGTTATCAGGAAATGGAAATCCCGTTACTATGAGAACCTGCTGCTCTGGATGGTGACTGCCCAGGAGATGATGTGAAGACTGATCTCAGAGCAGAGGGACCCAGTGAAGTCAGGAATGTCAGATTGCAGCTGAAACTCTTCCACTTCCTGCAGAGCAGCCTTTGGTGCCCGGGGAGCTGGAGAGTCACTTGCTTTGCAGATAAGCCATTAGGATTTTCCTGAGCTCTGATAAGGTGCCTCCTCCACCTGCCCTATGGAGAAGGTCATTCTTCTATCTACAAAATAGCCACTGGAGTAACAGAAATGGCCATTACAGTGGCTCCTGCTGTAATAACTAACGGCACTGACCCCATCAAGGACTCCGTTGTTGCAGGCAACCCAAAAGTCTGTTGGATAATCTCCAGTGATTTGGGGAGAGAATGTCAAGGCAAATGAGCTCTCTCCTAGACAGGAGATGAGGAGCTCTAATGGAAACAAGTTTCTCTGAAGGCTCAGCAAGGCTTTGCAGAAGCAGTGGGTGAGAGCCAGGTGGATGAGGAGTGACCCAGCACGGGATGTGCTCATTGACTGCACTTGTGCAGTTTCACCAGCTCTCCTGCAATGCTGCCAACCAGCAGATAACATCTGCAGAGCCCTCCAGGTCACAGCCCAAACAGGCCTGCAATTAGTGCTCCTGTTTATCTGATGAAGACAGGAAACCAGCACACTCCTACTGCCCTGAGTGGAGCCCAGCTCACCTGGGATCTTGCAGTCTTCAAAGATGAGCTCACAGGTATTAGAGCCTCTCATCCCCAGCTTGTCGAGCTTCTGGGCTGTCCTGAAACCTGGCATTCCCTGCCAAGTCAAGCAGTAAAACCACATTTGAGATCTGAGTTCCGAGAGACCCCATAAAAATCACTAGAGAGCTGTGAAAGTGCCCTGACTACAGGGACATGTGTAGGGCACCAGCAAGGAGTCGAAGCAAAGCGCAAAGGAAGCAGATGAGCAGAGAAGCACGTGCACGTGGGGGCACATATGAGCTGAGTGCACCCATTTGCTAATGGGCATAAGTATTAAACAAATGAATTATGTGCACAGCAGCCAACTCTGACTCTCCTGGAGTAAAGGCTATTTTGCCACTAACTCAGCCATTCCAATCTCTAAGTCACGTTAAGTCCATCAGATGGTTCACTGATCGCTGAGATTTTATATTTCAAGTGCCATTTACTTTATTACAGCTTCCTATCTTCCCTGTGGTGAGAGCTGTGTGTAGCATAGCCTCAAATAATTAGAAGGGAAGAAAAAAACCCAATAGATCCCTGTTTTCCAAGGGCTCTCTACTGAACAGCCTGTTTCTGCTCCCTTTGATGGGCTCTGCTTTGGCTTCCAAGGGGGCAGTGCAAGGAAATGGGGGGAAAGAAATGAATAAAGCTGTTTTAATGTCTTTGCTTAAAAATACCCCAAACCAAACCTAAACCCCAAACACACTGAGTTAGATAAAGGCATAGGAGGACAATACTGACAAGGACTGAATAGCTCTGACAATTTTTGGCAACAAGCAAACCCTTTTATATTAGGATCTTGTCCATTCTCTCTACATTTCTGACCCTAAAGAGTGGTTACATGCTTGGATATGGGTCTATGCAATCCAGCTATAGAAAGAAATCCAAGTGGCTTCTACAGGAGCCAGTTAGGGTGAAGGAGTTAAGTTCACAAAGCACACTGCAAGAAGCTTGTGAGCATTATCAGACCTACCCTCTCCACAATGAACGCTGTTATACCTCGGGAGGCCGGAACAGCATTAACATCAGTTTTAGCATAAACGATGAGAACATCTGCATCTGGCCCATTGGTGATCCAAAACTTGTTCCCATTCAAAACAAAGTAGTCCCCTAGGAGCAAAGAGCAGTAACCTGTTAGCTCAGGGAAGAGCAACACCTATCTCCTCCCTCCACTTATTTCAAAGCAGGCTCCAAGGATGCTCTTTAAGGCCCCACAAACACCATGTACAAACCCTTCCCAGGTTGAAGAAAACTCATTTCTTTAGTTCCTGGTTTAACAAATGCCTGACAAACCAAGGCACCTACCACCGGTTCCATCACACCACCAACTGCCACAACCACAAGTCCTTCAACCATCCACTTCGTGCCTTCACTCCCTGCCTCTATCCCACACTGAACCTGTTGGGAGGCAGCAGAAGCCTGCACACACCACCTGCTATACCCAGTGCTAAGCATTGTAACCCAGTGATGCTGGGGAGGTTAATCTGAGTTTACAGAGGCCATTACTGACACCAGCTATCTGTCCAGGCAGCACTCGACAGGCTTTACCTTTCTTATCTGCCTTCAGCTTCATGGACACAACATCAGATCCAGCATTGGGTTCACTCATTGCTAAGGCTCCAATGTGCTCCCCACTGATTAGCTGGAAGAAAAAAGACAAATATAAGAACGAGAGAAAGCAGCAGTGTTTCTGTTCCCTCTTTAGCCTGGTTTGGGGTGGTTTTTGACTGCACTGAATCTCCACAGTAGCTGTTCTGTGTGAAAACCACACGTGAGAGCTGCTGGTCCTGACAGATCCAGGCAGAGAGCTCCCTGTGCTGAGGGAACAGATCCAGAGCCCAGTGGGATGAGAAGGATGAGCGAGACGAGCAGAGCCCTGCTTACACAACACCACCTCCAGGAAGGTGCCAGGGAACCATGCAGGCAGCCATATGCCTTTCACAAGCTCCTTGTGCTGCATCTGATGACTGCCCTTTTACACCAACAAGAGCTGTTAAACACAAAAGGAGGGGGATGAAGAGAGATTGCAAAGTTCTTAGCAATGTTCTCACTGCCCAGTCCTCCCACACTCACGCTGCAATAGCGTCTGGACACCTTCCTTCTGTGCCTACTCGTACCAAGCTGTTGCTTTCTCTTCACTGTTCTTTCATCCTGCCCTTTCCTCCTTACTTCTTTTTTCCTCCCTGTGCACTTTAACCCAGCCTCTCCTCCTTTTGATCTCTTAGCTTTTTAAAAGCAGACTCAATGCTCAAGATACGCATTCAACCAACTCAATCCATCAGTGCTCTCCTACAGAAGTCTCCATGATCTGCTCAAAACCAGTGGTCTGTCATGAACCATGACAAGAACCAAGGTGACCACAAACCCCATTGAAAGGCAGGGAATGAGGGCATTAACATCCACCAGAGCAGCAATGAGGACACCTCAAGGTTACATAGGAACAGGCTGCTTTGAGGAAGTGCCACTGTACTTTGCATGTGGTATAAATCAAGTTTCTGGTGCTGATAATTCCAGTAGCTGGGATTCAATGTACTGGCTAAGTGTTTCCATGCATTTGAAAACTGAAATCTGTTTAACACGTCACAAACATCACTGGCCCAAATGAAGTTCCACGTGCAGTTAAGGAGCACAGGCAAACCAGGCATTTGGGCAATGGGAAAGCAGTGACTTTCATTCAGAACTCTGAAAATGCTTTGGAATCTGGAAGAATATCACCCAGTGTCACCTCAAAGCCTCATTTAGTAACACAGCTCCAGAGAGCTGGACTATGCTGCCCACAGACATGGACCTCAGCACAGACTGGGAGATGCCAACATGGACCTCAGCACAGAATAGGCTCATGCCAACCTTATGGAGTTTAACCATGCCAAGTGCAAGGTCCTACACCTGGGTCGGAACAATCCCAGGCCCAGCTACAGGCTGGGCAGATGAAGAGATTCAGAGCAGCCCAAGGAGAAGGACTTGGGGGTGCTGGTCCATGAGAAAATGAACATGAGCCGGCTTCAGTGTGCGCTTGAGCCCAGAAACCAACCGTATCCTGGGCTGCATCCAAAGGAGCGTGACCAGCAGGTCCAAGGAGCTGATCCTGCCCCTCTGCTCTGCTCTCGTGAGACCTCCCCTGGAGCATTGTGTGCAGTTCTGGTGTCCTCAACATAAAAGGGACATGGAACTGTTGGAACAAGTCCAGAGGAGGCCACGAGGATGCTCAGGGGCTGGAGCAGCTCCTGTATGGAGATAGGCTGAGAAAGTTGGGGCTGTTCAGCCTGGAGAAGAGAAGCTGCGTGGAGACCTCAGAGCAGCTTCCAGTGTCTGAAGGGGGCCTATAGGGATGCTGGGGAGGGACTCTTCATTAGGGACTGCAGTGACAGGACAAGGGGTAATGGGTTCAAACTGAAACAGGGGAAGTTTAGATTGGATCTAAGGAGGAAATTCTTTCCTGTGAGGGTGGTGAGGCACTGGAATGGGTGCCCAGAGAGGTTGTGAATGCTCCATCCCTGGCAGTGTTCAAGGCCAGGTTGGACAGAGCCTTGGGTGCCATGGTTTGGTGTGAGGTGCTCCTGCCCATGGCAGGGGGTTGGAATTGGATGATCTTAAGGTCCTTTCCAACCCAAACCATTCTATGATTCTATAATGTGGATTAATAGGACAAAAACGAAGGGCAAAATTGGCAAGTAGTGTATTCCCTAAGGGTGGGTGACAGAAATCAGTTAGTGAGGCCCATCTTTGCATGAAGCCCAAACCCAAATGCTTCCCAGCCTCCCCCCCTTCCAGCCACACACCTTGGGCAAGTACTTCTCCTTCTGGGCCTCATTGCCGTTCCGCACGAGCTGGTTGATGCAGAGGTTTGAGTGGGCACCGTAACTGAGCCCAACAGCCGCTGATGCACGAGAGATCTCCTCCATCACCAGCACGTGGTCCAGGTACCCCAAAGCAGATCCACCATACTCCACTGAAAAGAGGAGAGAAACCTCACGTTAAGCACTGTGGTGTATGTCACATGTGCACAAGATCCCAAGGTTGGGATCAGTCCTGAATGAGATCCAAGACACAAGAGAGCTCTTGGCTTTGACTGACACTGTCTCTGAGCTGAGCACCTCTGGCTTTCCCCATCTTCCCTGATTCAGTTTCCTTATCTTGAAGGCACAGTGGTGTTATTTCTTCAGTATAATCAGTAACTTACTTGTACATCATCATTTTCTGCACAAAACGTGCAGTAGGATACACCTAAAACATGCTGCCAACACTTGCACAATAATGAGTCCTTCTTGCAACCTTCATATTACCATCAAGATCAAATCACCAAGTGGCAAATTGTATTAGGTGAGAGGACTAAAAAACACAAGCAAAATCTGTAAAGGTCCATGCATGTCTGTCATAACAAGGACCCCTCAAACTGCTCAGTAAGTGGGGCACCAGGGACTTTTCTAAGCCCCTAAATGTGCAGAAGACCAGCTCTTTGATGGGTGGCTGATTCAGAAGGAGAATGATCCATAAGTGTAACTGCTGCAGTTCACCCCTAGCAAGGATGTGCATTTCAAGAGAAGACGAAGTGAGACAGAGCAGCAGCAGCATTGTAGCTGGGATCTAGCTAGGCATGGCAAGTGCTTAAACTGGGGGTGAAGATTTAAGGCACACAATAGAACAGGGAGAGAGGGAAGGCAGGGAGAAAAAGAGGAGGCTGAGAAATGCAGAATCATAGAATAGTCAGGGTTGGAAAGGACCTTAAGATCATCCAGTTCCAACCCCCTGCCATGGGCAGGGACACCTCGCTCTAAACCATATCACCCAAGGCCTCCTCCAACCTGGCCTTGAACACTGCCAGGGATGGAGCATTCACAACCTCCCTGGGCAACCCATTCCAGTGCCTCAGCACCCTCACAGGAAAGAACTTCCTCTTTAGATCCAACCTAAACTTCCCCTGTTTCAGTTTTAAGAATGGCTTTGAGCAGCTGACAGCCTACATAAATATATACATGTATATACAGAGATACACACACAAACACAGGCATATCCTACTGTAAAAGCTTTGTTCTACAGGCAAGAAGCAAGCGGTTGCAGTGCTAAGAGGAGAACTAAACCAGGAGGACAGAAACACCGCAAAGGAGTCAGGGAGTCCATCTGGGAGCACTTACTTGTCATCAATGTGAATGCTGTGAGTGAGCAGCAACAATGGTGAGAGCAAATACGTTTGTAAGTCTAGAGTGATCAGAGAGCTGAGTGTGTAACCAGGCTCAGGGAGGGCTACTGCCCCTAATGCATCAAATCAGCACAACCTTTCCTCCCATGTCACTCATTCTGACTCCTGCCTTTATCTGCAGGGCTCTTTATCCTTTGACATTACCTCTCCATCACACATCAGAGTTCAGGCTTTTACTATCCAGGCCCTAACTGACAGGTTTAACAATTTCTTACATATGCCAAACCAAGAGTTTTCAATCCAGTCCTACAGAATGATGAGCTTAGTGCTATTGCCTCGAGATAGGAAAGGTAACTGCCTGCCATAAGCAATACTGACCTAGGATCATGTTGTACTGCAAGAGGTACAAGAAAATAATCCTGCCAGACAGCTTCTTGTGTAATACAAACCACAGTGTGATTTAGAACGATGCCGCTCTTTCACAACTACTTTATATGACATGCCTATATTATCTTTGCATGGTAGCTTCAGTATTCGCATTTCCTAACACAGCTCCTAATAAAACAACTGTAAAATGACAAACCAACAGTTTTATTAGTGTTAAGAAGAAAACAGAAAGCACTGCTGTTTAAAATGCTCCTTTAACAGACCCGAGCCACTGGTGCCCAAACAAGCCATTTAACTGAGCATATGCCTGCATAAGATTTCCCATTATCTTCACATCCTAAATCCCAGTCTCCACCTCCTACAACAAAACCAATGCCAATAAAGCAAGCGCACACAACTCCACAATCAAAAACCAGGGCAAAACTGCTGGGCATAGGAGGGTTTGCGGGGTAAATCTTGGAGGAAATCAAACAGGACAGGACTCGGGAGGGGATAGCTTATTTATAGTGTGGGAAACTGCCATGAGCCTCAGGCACAACATCAAAGAAGAAAGAAGGTAAGAGTGAGAAAAAACAGGAGCAGCAGTAAATTGGGCAAACAGAAATCCAGACTCTTTCAAGCAGACTCAGTGGCACTGAAAGAAAGGCAGAGGCATTATTCGGAGGCATTGCTATTCAGCCTGCCGCTGCACAAGCCTTTGCACACACACATCTAGAAGCAGAGACTTTACGATGGGGAAATAAAGGCCCCATTGCCCGCTTTTCTGCACTAAGGGCTTCTCCTCATTACACTGTGTTAGTGCATTCAGCATGACCACAGCAGCCTCCGTCAGCTCTAACATGAATCAAAACACTTTTCAGCTAACCTGGGTGAGGCTGAATAAGATTTACCCTGATTCTTTCTGACTGGTTGGATGTGGTAGGCTCGCCATTAGTTATCACAGCTTTCCAGGGGGTTGTTTTAGACCCTTTAACTTCTCCCATTAGAGATGGATGCTTGCTCTAGGATACCTTTATCTCTAGCTCTTGTTCTTCAAAACTTGAGTAAATGCTTCATAGTAGAGAGGTGCAAACGCATTTGAGTGGCTTATAGCTGGAGAAACCACTCCTGAAGAGTGCTTTTACAACGGTAAGAGGCATTTTGTACTCATCCAGGAACAAGGACTCTGAGGCAGTGAAGAATAACAGAAGTTGTGGGAAAGTTTTTAAAAAGCTGGGAGCTTCTGGATGAAGATTGGATCTAAGGAGGAAATTCTTTCCTGTGAGGGTGCTGAGGCACTGGAATGGGTGCCCAGGGAGGTTGTGAAAGCTCCATCCCTGGCAGTGTTCAAGGCCAGGTTGGACAGAGCCTTGGGTGCCATGGTTTAGTGTGAGGTGTCCCTGCTCATAGCAGGGGGTTGGAACTGGATGATCTTAAGGTCCTTTCCAACCCTAACTATTCTGTGATTCCATGATTCTATGAACTGGACATCCCATCACAGACACGTTGCTATGAACTGGAAAGGGTGAGTCCACAGCAATCTGCTTGGTTTTGAAGTAATGTGAGAACAGACTTACCAGGAGCCGTGATCCCCAGAACTCCCAGTGCCCCGAGCTTCTTCCAAAACTCCTACAAACACAGAACAAGCAATCAGTGCAGGCTCAGGGCACTGGCATAGGAAGCTGTCCCAGGTAACTCACTGGACTCACCAGTTTATCTTATCCTTGTGATATCTCAGAGATAAGTGCTTTGATACCCAATTCCTCCTGCATCAGCACCTCCATACTTAGGACTAGGAGCCCAGGCAAAGGTCAGGACATCAGTTACACTCCACAGGAGAGGAGCCTGCTGAATTCAGTGAAAATTCACAAGCCTAAACTTAACTGTGGAAGGACAGGGCCTGAGATGTAACTGGTTGCCCTGGTTAAGGAGAACTTTGATGACTCAAAACCTCCCATTAATTTAAAACCAGCACGTTGGCTTTCATCGACTATCTCTTGCTAAGGGTTCTTTAGGATGTTATGACTTAAATTTATGCTTGTCTTTTACCCCACACATCCTTGTCACTGTTTAAGCAGCACTGCGTAGGCCTATCAGCCTGCTGTTGCTGCAAATAGCAGTTAGCTGAAGCTATCCGTGGATGAAACCCTGGAGATATATACATGTATTACAGTGACTGCAATCACACATATATATATATATATATATGTGTGTGTGTGTGTGTGTGTGTGTATGAGTTGCTATTTGCTGGCACTTTAAAACTCTTCTAGTAAAGCAGAAACTGGTAACTAAAGCCCAGAAAGACTTCTTAGGAGAGATTAAAAAGGGGAATGCTGCAGCCAGGGCAGATAGAGGTGGTTCCCTCCTTGGAGATGGTACTAGAGAAGTCACTAAAGGTGACCATAACAGAGAACCTTGGATTTGTGAAGCTAAAGGAGATCAATCCACAAGGGCCACTCAAGGACCCGTAGGTTCTCAGGACACACACAGGGATTGAACAGCACTACTGAGTTTTGCATGGTTGAACATACATGCTACAAAGTTCACTGCTAGAGGACAAGCTGTCCTCCTTGCCTGCCAACTCCTCTATTTATCCACTACCCAGATTTATCAGTGGCAATGCCACCACTCAGGTGACACCCACACAATGGAGGTACAGAGCTGATGGGAGACACACACATCAGCTGCGCCTGGCACACGGCATCACGGAGTAGGAAGGAAGATGTAATGCAGTAGCAAAAGGTGTCACCAGGGAGGACCACATGCTGGAGGGGCCACCTCTCTCTGCCTCTCCTCCACTATGCGATAGACACACAAGTAAATGCTTGTCAGATGGGCCCGGTGTCCAGCAATAAGATAATTATCAGTGAATAGTCCCTAGAGACTTCAAAAAGCATTATTTAATAGCTGCAGATGACATCTGGTGCACCAGGCTAAATTTATACACTTCACTTCAAAGCTGCACATCCAGCCCTGAAAATGTCAACATCAGAGCCCTGGGAAATCCGAGCAGATGTTCTGAGCTTTTCAAGTCTTGTGGAGCTTATGAAACCCAATAGTTAGATGTCTCATTTTCATCAATCAAAGCAGCCCGTGGCACAGCCTCTGGTGGGTTTATCAGGAAGGCAAGGTTCAGCTCGACTCAAACTCTGCATTTCACCATTTGCACACAAGATTTTCACCATGAATTTGAGAGGAAACTCTGACAGCCAAGAAAGGCTCCTGGCTAGGAGAACACAAAGTATGCATCAGAGAGGGAGCCTGAGCAGAGCCAAGCAGGAATACCATGATGAGAATCCAGACAAGACCATTACCAATCCCTTTTAATCACACCCTGGCTGGGTTCTGCCCCAGGTTGCTGAAGGTTGTTAACAAAAGAGGAAATCAAAACCTGGGTTTTCTATGACTTCCAAAGTTGAAAAGTTCCTGCACATGTTCCTGTGGTGTGGCTGGGATGCTGCGTCTGGATCACTGTACAGATCAAAGCACAGACAGCCTTTCACTACCAGCTGTAGGAGATGCACACATGAAATACTTGCCCGCATGTCTTTGAATTCGTTTTCCTGGTCAATCTGTTGGGCCTTGGGAGCCAAATGCTCTTGACAGAACTTTGTCATGGTCTGTCTAAGCTGGGAAAAGAGATGAGGAGAAACACATACGTCATATCTCATCCATATATTGCCATCTTCTTCCCTAGGTTACTGCTAACATTCCCCGCCAGGGAAGTCCAGGATCCCAAACCCAGAAGCACGAGCCCATAAGGAAATCAGTGCTGCAGGTTTCTAGACCATTTGAAAGGCCCTTTAGTGTTTTAAGGAGAAGATACTGATGTACTGCACTAAGTTCCTGCACTTAAGTTATTCCCAGCATTTAACCTTAACAATCTTACCCCAGCATGAGCAAATGCTACTGAACTAATGCCCACATGAGAGTTTTAGGGAATGTTTTTGGGCAGGAGACTTTGAAAGCTGATGAGCAGAGTTTATAATGCATTAACTGCACCCAGTAGCTGCTTATAGTTTCATTTAATTATAAGCAGATGCCTCTAATAGGCATGCCAAATGTTAACATCTTTTTCTAAGTTCTGAAGTCTAAACACTTACATACGTGTATTCTGCAGACATCCTAAGAAATTACACACAATAGCTGAAGTGGTTTTCATATGAAGATTTAAAAACTCTGCCTAGAGCTTTATAAGTAGAGCTTAGTAATCCCCTTTTCCCTTTTGGTTCCTTATTCCCACAGATTAATGCTGGTGAAGGAACAGTTTTAGAGACTGAAACCCTCTGCTGCTTAACCAGAACCTGTAGAAGGGGCAGAAGCAACAATCCAAAACATGCACAAGCTTCTCTGCCCTTCCCAACCCCACAATCAAAGCATCCCCTTTTTCACAATGAACAGGATATCTTCATTTCTATGGTTACCCTGGCCTTGGGTTCTGGTACCAAAGAATGAGTTTTGCCCTCATTGACAGACTTAAAAGCTTTAAACAAAACCAAACCACATTAAATCTGTTTCCATTATGACAAATCTAATAGCAGTAAACTTGAGAATAAAGCTTAAAAGCCATAATTAAAATATCTTTATCAATTAAAGATTGATGGCCAGACACAGGCATCACTGATACTCTAAGCCATTTTAAAACAGCCAATTCAGATTTTAACCATTAATTCACAGTTTGACATTACTGAAGGTCTATTTCTGATCCTTTTTTAGCTTTTCCACCAGACAGGTATGAGCTACAAGAATATTTTCCTCCTTTTACACATGCTGAATATAGGACCACAAAGAAACATCAACTTAATTTGAGGCTATAAACCATGATGATAAACCTGGCAAAGACGAAATCTGTAGTATGAAAGAAGTAAGAATGGTTACATTTATTTTGTACATCCCCATGCTTGCACTGCTATAATTATCTGGAAAATAAGGCTACAGCTCCAGAGAAACAGTTTCATGGGAGCCTGTCTGGATCAGTCCTTTGAAAGACACTGCCTTTCACACCATGCCATGGACAGCAGGGAGTAAGTGGTGTAATAGCTAGCTCCAGGTGGCTACTGAACACAGAAGAGAACAGTAAAGCTGTGAACTATCACCCTAAATCTTTAGGTCTATTGGTCAAGAGAACAAGCTAGACAAGCTGCAACACTTCTTCTGAGAGGATTTGATGAGGCCAAATTAATTTTTCTTCTTTGATGACTGTATTTCTGGTTGCTTATATTACCAAATATATTCATAGCTGATCATATTTCTACAAGGGACTGGTGTAGTGGAAAGTGCCCTTGCCCATGGCAGGGGATTGGAACTAGACGATCTTCAAGGTCCCTTCCACGCCAAACCACTCGGACCCTATGACTTCTGATCAAACAGGCCCATCGTGAACGCAGTGGACTTCCCTGGTGCTTCGTTATGTGGCATTTCACCGTGAAGAGTTGCGTTCTCAGACGAGGAAAGGCCGGAGACACCCGGCTCTGCCTTCCAGCGGGTCCCAGCTCCCTCTGTCCCCGGCTCCCTGCTGACACGTGGCCGAGGCGCGCCCTGACCGTCGCAGCGCCCCCTCTGCGCGCCCGCGGATAGGCGGGCTGCCCACAGCCGCAGCCAATCACCGCCCGCCAGCCCCGACACACCCCCGCAGGATGGCGCGCTTGCCCCCGTTACCCGCGGCGGCGGCCCGTACCTGGCGCTGCTCGGCGCTCAGCCCGTTCACCGTGTCGTCCACCGCCAGCCCTGCGCAGCCCCGCCGCAAAAGCCGCAGCCTCTGCCGGAGCCCCGCACCTGACACCGCCCGCCCGAGCACCGCCGCCGCCATGGCCACCCCCCGGCCGACCCCGGCGCGCAAGCGCGGGCCAGCCCCGGAGGAGGGGAGCGACCGCCCCTGCGCTCCGGTGGCGCCCCGCGGGCAGAGCTGCCTCGGGGAGGAAAGGCGCCAGACAGCAACGTGCCGGTATTTAATGGATTAAAAACACACATAGACACAACACGCCGGGAGCCCGGGACGGAGGAGCCGTTCAACAGCGAGGGGAGCAGTGGAGAACACCGTGAGGGGCACCGGAACAGGGATGGTGCATCAGTTCTCACCACCACGTCAGAGTGAGGGCTGACAAGGAGAGCCCACTGAACTAGGAGTAAACCAGCAAAACCGGACAGTATAGTCCATCCTCACTCCTCACATAGCCAGGAGCAGCTCCAGCTTGTCAAGTACCACTGAACACTCCATGGATGCTTGGAAGGATGAATGCTGCTGCAGGGAGCACTGCCTCTCTTCTTCCACTGCTTTCCACCTCACTGTTGCGGTCTGTAGAGAAGTCAGTGTACACTGTTTTATGAACAAAGCACTGAACAGCAAAGCCACGTTGTAAAACAGCTCCAGCTAAAGAATTTTAACTCCTCAGCGGGGTCTTAGCCCCAGCTAAACTGGGATTAATCCACCTTGACTGGCAGGTCTTTTACCTCAGTTCCTTGAGGAAAGTGGCAATTTATCTCTAATTGAAGTTCTGTCAGTCTTGTATAATAGTGATTTCACTGGTTAGATCTTCAAAGTCTTACTAGGATTGTAGAACTGCAATTTAATGCCTATTTTGTCCTGTATATAGACAATACTACTGAAGCTGTGTGTGCTCACATTCCTCTTATTTCCCAGGGAGCCTGAGGTCTTTGGTATGCAACAGGTTCCAAGTTAGATCAAATCTGAATTCCCATGTAACAATTAGACTTGAGGGGACCAGTGCTCTGCTGGGTGCTTACAAGCACCTGAAACAGCCTCAAGAAACTCCCTCTTGAGAGGAGCTGGCCTAAGCAGAGCGAGCTCCTTTCCAGTGCTGATATCCATCACTTCAGAGCAGACAGGGTCTAACTTGAAAGCTCTCAGGCTTTAGTAATACATTCACCTTCTAACTTGTTCCAAGTTCAATCATAGATTATTCAACCTGAAGTGACTTGGATGAGAATTAACATTGCCCCACCACCATAAACTCAGCTTTAAACTCTCTATTTGGAAGGGCAGTAATACCTACAGCTTCTCAATATGTATTTACACCAGAAGCTGAATACTGCAGGCTTTCAGCCTTGGTTATTTGGATACTAGAATGGGATCAGGAGCAAAACACCTCCAGGATTTCACTCAGCACCAGGTGCTTGTTACCTGATCAAGTCAAAGTCACCATCTTACCTGAAGTTTCTCATTTTCTTTTGCAGCCATTTGATTAAATCGCCTCAAATCTTCTATGAGCTTCTCTGTTAACAGCTGAAGAGCAGAAAGGAAAATAATTTAATACAATGCAAATAAACAGAGCTCTCAGCAGCTGCTCCTACAAGGGCAGCAGCACATGGATCCCTCAAAGCCCATTTAACTCCTAGTGCTACTTCAGAAGTTTCTTACCGCTGTCTGCCTCTGGCATTCCCGAGTCTTTTCTTCCTCCTCCAAAATGGTGCTGCCTGTAACTAAGGTATGAGATGCATTAGTGAACCTCTAACACACAGGCAACTTTGCCTGCAAGAACTAACAGCTTTGCAAAGTGAGCTTTCTACAGCAAAAAAGATTAAGTTATTTTCCAAGTTTATCCAGGACATGGTCTACTCCAGGAAGCAGCTTTTTCTCTAAAGCCAGGGGGCAAAACCAAAAAAGTCCCCTGGAGTTACAACGGTATTCCCTTAATGAGGATGCAGGGTCCAAATGTCTCATGAAGAGTCACAACAGGGGGAAAACCAAAGGTGTTTCAAAGCACGAGTACCAGAATGGCATGTGAGACACATGGTCCTTACCAGGATCAATGTTTCTGCTTTCCAAAATCACCATGCAAGTCTCCTGAAGTTTCTTGAACTTCTCAACTTCTTGTACCAGGCCTTCCTTCTCATCCTTTAGGCCCTTTATGATGCGCTGTCATTAACACAGGTTGTAAGTGAATCATGTTTCCAAGGAGATTGTCTCCTCATTAGTCAGTAACACTGAGTGTGACACCAGTGGCAATACCACTCCCACCATGACTCAGATCTTGCCCTTTGTCCCAAGCACCACAGCATATTAGTCTCTTGCAGATCCTTACCCCTGCTTCTTGACAGGATTAATACATTTGTCATGTCCGCATGTCATCATAATTAATGGAAAAATTGGATCCTAGAGACAAATTCCTTTTAGGCAACGCTGGCATAGCTGCTCTCATGCTCCCTCTCATATCTATAAATAATTCAGGCATTTGGTGCACTGAAGAGCACATGAACATTGGGAAGAAAAGGGCCTCTTAGACTCTTTAAGCCCTAGCATTAGCCCTTACACAATTCAGGTATTACCAGGCAATCAGATTAAGCTGATCAACCTCACAAGTGGAATGCAATTCTCCAGGAGAATCAATAAGCACATGGATTAGGCTGATCCAGCTGATGGCGTCAGAAGCTTTTGGAACATTTCATAGGAGGTCTCAAAGGCTCTTAAAGAAATCAAGCTGTGAGATAAGAGGAATGATCATCTCCTGGATTAGTAACGGGTTGAGAACTAGGAAATAAAGTGAGCTTTTACGGCTGAAAGTTACCAGCTGGGCATCTTGCACATGGCAGAAGTTGTGCTAAGTGTCCTAGAGTAATCTGCAAGAGGTAGAGAATGAGGCATTAATTCTCAATCTCAACTCTATTCAAGAAAGGCCACTGAAGAGTCCCAGATCTTTCAGCCTTTCCTCCAGTTCGTTGATCATCAAAGTGGCCCTTTGCTGGACCCCCTCCACAGCACCAGGAGCCCAGAACCAGACACAACAGTCCAGGTTTGGCCTCACTAGTGCTGAGCAGACATGACAAAACTTGCAGGAGAAATGCAATGAAAGGTCAGGCACCAATAGACACGATAGCAAGTGAGGAAACATAAGCTCATATAAACTGAGCTCTGTGTTACATACTCAGAAGAGAATAAGAACACTGTCTGTAAAACTTAGTGCCCAGCAGTGACCAAAATCCAAGTAGAATGTTCTTCTGTACCAAAACAAGACCATACCCATCCCTGAACACACATCTTCAGTACCATATGCACTCTCACACTATATTGTGTGATGGGTTAACGAAGCTGAGAGACATGGGGCAAAAGGAACAAGAAAATGGAATAGTTTATCTACCATATGTTAGGAGCTACATAAGAAAGAGAACTAATAGACCTCAGACTATCAGTGGCAAGTGATTATTTGCGGTTTCTCTTGGTGTAACTAAGAAGCATCTGGCAATATCAAGGCTGTTTTAATAAAACTTGAATCAAGTGTATAGTTGTGAACTTAAAATACTCTCCCACAATGAGTTTAAAATGGAATTAGAGCTCTGATGACTATTTATCACTGATGTGGATGCCCTCTCCATCCAAACACATCTGCAGCAATTCTGATCTAGAAGTTCTAGCAGAAACCATGGGTGTCAGAGGAGAAAACCCAGCCAAACTCTGCTGACTTCTGATAGAGAGAGGAAAAGGAGCAAGACAACCCTTTGATCTGACCCTATAGGTATCAGAATGTAAGACTTCCTCAATGATTTATTTTCCCCTTTCCTTACCTGTGCTTCTGTTAATTTGGAGTGTAGCTGTTGCTTGGCTGTTTCCAATACCTGATTCTTGGTCTTCAACTCTGCTTCTAGTTTGTATCTGTTGAGAGGTCTGTAGAGTCAAACATCAAAGACTGAGGGGCAAAATTATCAGTAGTACGCACCTCCTCTCTACTTCCACAAAAATGCCCTTTGCTGAAGCATTTGCTCTTGTTTCTGACCAAAAGGGAGCATTACTGCATGAGGAGACTAACAGGAAACATACCCTCTTGTAGCTGGCTTCTTCAAAAGCGGCTCCCCTTTCTTGGCAGATTTAGGCAACCTTAAAAGATGAGTAAAATACAGTTACCAGAAGGCCACCGCATCCTTGCACGTTACCAAGTCTGTTAGTTTGAGAAGCTCTGCAAAATGCTCAGCCAGCTTTAGGACATTTGCCAAGTACTAAATCCATCAGTATTTTACTTCTATTTACCCTTGGCTTGTCGCTTTGAAGACACCATCTGCTGGGATGTTGGAGCTGAAGTTAAAATCAGGACCTTTGTTGAACTCCAGGTCTGTTCTTTTGCTGACGCATTGTTTCTTTGAAAAAAACCCCATTTGCATTTCTGCAAGAAAAAGATAACAGTGAGAACACCACGGCCTGCAAACAAGGGCTGAAAACAGGGCACCAGAATACACAGAGTTACTGGATCTCTTAAACCTTCAATCTGAGGTGAATCACAATTACGTCTGCCTAGAATGGATATTTTAAGGTAGTGACAACTAAGGGCAGTCTTCAAAGGTTACATGGGATTAAGGGTCCAGAACAAGCCACAGATAAGTGAGACAGTAGTGTTAAAACCCAGTTACCAGGCTAGCAATAGTGAGGGAAAGTTTGAAAGTGATAATCCAGGCTCTGTTTGAGCGAGTCCAGAGGAGGCAATGGAGATGCTTCTTGGGCTGGAGCAGCTCTGCTCTGGAGCCAGGCTGAGAGAGCTGGGCTGGGGCAGCCTGGAGAAGAGGAGGCTCCTGAAGGAGAGACCTGAAAGCAGCTCCAGTGCCTAAAGGTTCCTGTCATGTTTTAAGCCGAGCCTGTAAATCAGAACCATGCAGGGATGGGAAGAAGAATCAAAAGAATGTAAATCCCACAGACTGAGATTAAGAACAGCCCGGTAACTAAGGTATAACACAAACCACTGCTGCAACCACCAATAATAACTATAAGGGAAATAACAAGGGAAGAAAACATAAAACTAAAAGGGGGGAAAGGAAAAGAAAACAATGAACAAAAGTGGTGCACAACACAGTTGCTCACCACCTGCCAACTGATACCCAGCCTGACCAACGTGGCAG